AGAAAGAAGGGCTGCTTATGCACAGGGAGACAGCTCAGGGGGCAGGAGTGCATGGAGGGATGGACACAGGGAAGAGGTAACTATCAGGAGGAAGTAGGAGGGGAGATGTTGCATTGTGGTAAATTGTGGTCAATGCCATGAGACAAAGTGTATATGAACTACTGTATGGAAAGTGTATTTGCTCTGTAAATTTTCACCCAAATCACAATAAAAAGAAAAGAAAAGAAAATCTGTATGAGAGTGGTGGGGAAAGCCAAGTATCAGTATTTCTTACAGATCTCAGATGATTTCAATGTGCAATAAAGTTTGAGAATCACTGCTTTAGGGTAAAGGTTGATAATGCCTCTATTATCAAATTAGTAACTTAATTTGGAGCCATTATAGGTTGTCTTAAGTCTCTGACCGCTGGGACTGAGTGAATTACCCCAGGAAGCTTCTTGCAGTAACAATTTCCAAAATGTCATCTATGCACAGGAACAGAAAGACAAAAGCTGAAGTGCTGAAGACTCTAAAAATATATGACCAAAGGAAAAAGAGAAAGGGGTGATATTTGACTTCCAATTTCCTTATAAAGGTTACTCGGTTAGTCAAAACACCAAGTCACTCTGACTAACCAAGAACTGCCAGTTCTGACATTGAAATCATAACCTAAAGAGCAGAAACACTCTGAGAACGCTGCTTATTCACAAGGCCATACTTTATACCTAGAATACTTGGGATGTTTCCATTTCAGTCTACTGCAAAACATCCTCCATTTACAACTCTCAATCCAATCTCAATAGAGAACCCAGCAATTTCCAGGAGTGTCAGATAAATTAAAGGTATGTTTTCAGACTTAAATGCTGGAAAAGATATATAGCCCACTCTGATTCATGGGACAACAAAGGTCTTCTGAAAGTACAAGATTCAGCAGATGGAATTTGGCTGATGATAGGTCATTCACAATCTTTGCCTCTCCTACACTTTTCCCATGCCTGTGCCCAAACGTGAGATGACTGTTCCACTTTTTTTCTGGCTTAGATGGGGGTAGGTGTGAATTAGAAGTAGATGGCCCATATTTGGAGCCACTGTTTAAAAGGGACCTACAAACCTGATAGAAGATGCAAACAGAGTTTGTGATGTGACTTACCTTATGGCACATGTAGGATCCACCTTTCTTCACTCGGTCTTTCCCAGAAGGGGGGCCTTTCTGTGGATGAAGAGAAAGCAACTCATGAATCCAGAGAACAAAGATGTCCCTCACACAGTGGTAGAGAGTGTATTGGTCCCGACCAGCTCTCTCACTGTTACCTAAACTCTCCACACACATCTTGCTTCGGTACCCACTCACCCTCTCAAATGTCCACCTCAAATCCTACCCACCCTCCAATGACCATTCAAGTTCCCCCTCTTTGGTGAAGTGTTTATAACTACAGCAAGCAACCTTGCCTCTAAACCCTATAGCATCTCTTGCCTAGATGAATGGTAAGTGGCTTGGCACCATCTCTGACATCACCTTCTTGTGCTGATAATGAAAATTCACCCTACATTATAATTGGTTTGCTCAACTAAAATGGCAAGCTTCTTTCAATCATACATTTTTAAAACTCCATACCTAATTAAACCCTTTGTTGACTGAATGAAGGAATGTGTTTATTTATCTTTAAGTCAGGTTTATTAAGGTATAATTTATATATAGTAAAATCAGCCCTTTGTAAACACACAGTTCTTATGAGTTTTGCCAAATGCATAGTCATTGGTAACGAGTACCATATTGAGATGTAGCACATATTTTCTTTTTAAAAAAAAGATTTATATAGTGTTTACCATGAACTAGGTATGGTTCTAAGCACTTTGCAAATGTTAACTCATGTACTCTTCATAACAACTTGTGGGGCAGCTTAAGCAATTGACAGAACCAGGATTCACACCCACACTCTTAACCACTCCAGTGTGCTCCAGCTTTTGAGACCACAGGTGAAGGACACTGAGCAGTGCCTGAAAGCAGGCAAGAAGGAATAGTGACTATCACTGCAAGAAGAACTAAAATCCACATACATGAAGCCAAAAGGGAAGACTCTTTCTTCTAGAGAGGGTTTTGGATAAAAGTACAGTGGAAACGAACATACTAAATCTTTAGTTGCCAGGATGATAAATTCCACATCAGGTGAATTTTTGTCACAGCAAAGAGCATTTGAGAGGTACCAAAAGGAGTCTAAGGAGAAGGATGATTTTGTTTCATTTTATTTTTTGCTTTTCCTTTGTTGTTCAAAAAGACCACAACCACATAGCTGTCTGCTGTTTGTTTACTGAAAACAAGAGAAACTTGGGCAAACCCCACCCCCTCATCTTAATTTTCCCTTTTCTTGCCAACAACCTATTGTCAAGGGCCCATGAATAAGTGACACAAGTTAAAAGAGCCATGTTTCCCTAATATATGGTATAAATAGACTACCAAGCATAATTCAAAATGCACCAACAGCAGAAGAGAAGCCAGATGATTGGGACCTTCTAAAAATTA